GAAGGATTCACGGACTCCTAATCGGTCATTTGTTGCTTGGTTTCTTCCATTCACCTATTCTCCTCAAGTAGGGTGGTTCCCACTTCAGTAGGTCCGCCCCCCACTCTGTGTCTCCTGCGCAGTTGTTCCTCAAGAACCTGTATCAACTTACACACGAAGAAAAGCTAAGCTCCATGTCCGGGGCCTCTGTATCTCCTCTGTTGATCCAGTTCTCCGGCACTGTTAACATAACTCCTAGCTTTTGAGAGAGGGACACCTTGGGATGGAGAAGATACCTGGCATTAAGAGTGCACTCGGCACGTGATGATCAATGGGGGTGAGAGGGCAACATTGATGCTGAGAGGGAAGGAATGGGGGAACAATAGTGCCCAGCAGAGGGTTGGAGAAGAATAAAAATGTCCAGCAAGGGGTGGGGGATAAAAAGTGCTCAGCAGAGGGTGGGGGAGAACCATAGTGACAACCAGTGGGGCCAATATCCCAGCACAGTCCCATGAAATCCAAGATGGCCCAGCTCCCCGTGCTCTTTTTAAACAATGGACAAAATCTAGTTTCAAGATTGCTCCCCCATAGACTTCAAAGAGGTTCAATCTTAAGTTTGGGTTTTGAGGATTTGACAAATTCCTCCACAAATGGAAATGGCCACATAAGCTCAGCCATAAAAAATATATCCCTACTAACATAACATATACAATTAAAAACCATCCAACCAGGTCCATCCAACCAGGTCCTCCATCCCCTAGAACTGACATCATCCATCCCACATAACTGAGCTCTTTCATCCCACATAACTGCGTTCCTCTATCCCTCATAACTTATCTCCTCCATCCCACATAACCGAGGTCCTCCATCCTCAATAACAGAGGTTCTCCATCCTCATAACTGAGCTACTTCATCCCCCACATCATAACTGCAGTCCCCTCCATCCCCCATAACCGAGGTTCTCTATCCCATATAACTGAGCTCCTCCGTCCCTGTTTTGCCTCAAAACAAAGTGTTTTTAGCACTACTACAATCGCTCACTAATACACGGATTAGGCTTAATAAGTATTAAAGCAAAACATGATTTATTGAATAAGTTCTGTTAGTATAATAATATAAGAATTATCAGAATTGAAAATCATATTTAGATCGTATTATAGCAAGAATAAAGCATCAATAAATCACTGGATATTGTAGCATCACCCATTGCCCAACGACTGGGGGACTCCAACAACCAGCAAGGGGGAATCCGGGAAATCACCGCAAGGCACATCTGCGGCATCTTCAATGAGTCCCAAATTCCCCTAGAATCCCCCGTCTTTTATATACATAATTTGGAATGTCCTTATCTCGTGCCATGCGCAATATCTCCTGATTATATGACATCATGTATGACTCTGCGTAGTAGTTAGAGTCAACGCATGATCAGCTGTGCCATCACGCGTAGGTACCGATTTTGATGGAATGCGCATCTGGTGAATATCAGCCATATCTCTGGTTTTAACTGGTTTAATGTACACTGTGAACTCCAGTTACCCATCTAATGGTTATAATCATTAGCATTATGACAGTTGAGTGTCAATCACTTCTCATCCATACATCCTATACACTTATATCACATATGTATCACAGTCCCCCATAACTAAGCTCCTCCATCCCCCATAACGGAGGTTCTCTATCCCTCATAACTGAGGTCCTCCTGTCACGGCTATAGCGGATAGCTCTATAGATCCACAGCTTGGGGTTCCCCAGGGCGTGGAATCTAAGCCCCAGTCTGCTTGTTCACCAGGGCCCCTGATGGTGGGGATGGACTTGGAGAAGGCTGGGACCAGGTCGCGGCCCCCAGGTACACCCAGCTGAGGTAGAGGAGACCGCCAGCAGAAACGGGGTGCAATGCGACTTCCACGTACAGGATTGGGGGAGCCTGAAGTGGAGAGAGAGCGTCCCCTTATAACTCCTGCTCGGAACCCCTGAAGGTAAGAGCAGGGGCGCAGAGCCAGGAGGGGCAGGGATGCAGTGTGGGTCTTGCAGCCGTCAGCAGGTAACTGGGGACCCAGGAGGTCCGGGCACAAGCTAGGTGTGGATGCAGCGGCGTAGGTGCAGCGGTGAAAGGATCTAGGAGCTGACAAAATGCCGGTCAGGTGCAGGTGCAGGCAGAGCAATACAGCAGAGTCAGGCAGGCCGGGTCGGTAACTAGCGGGCAGATTAGTACACAAGGAGCAGGCAGGAGAATGGTCAGGGATAGCCGGGGTCGGTGCAGGCGGAGTTCATTCACAGGCGGGTATACAGAATGCAGGTATCAGGATCAGATCAGGAAATATATGCAGGGATGTATTTAGACCAGAAGGCAATGATTACGATTCACAGCGGGTTTAAATATCCCGCCAGACATGACAGGTGCGCTACTGCGCATGCGCGAGCCTGCCGCGCTACCACGCATGCGCAGCGGCACGCTCCCACGCCTGCGCACTCGCACCCCTCATCACTGAGGTTCTCCATCTGATATAACGGAGGTCCTCCATCCCCCATAACTTAGGTTCTCAATCCACCATAACTGAGGTCCTCTATCCCTCATAATTGAGGTTCTCCATCCCACATAACTGAGCTCCTCCATCCCCCATAACCGAGCTCCTCCATCCCCCATAACCAAGCTCCTCCATCCCCCATAACCGAGGTCCAACATCCCACATAACCAAGGTCCTCCATCCTACAGAACGGAAGTCCTCATTCCTACAGAACGGAGGTCCTCCATCCTACAGAACTGCTCTACTTCATCCCTCATCACTGAGGTTCTCCATCTGATATAACGGACAGTGGCGGACTGACAACTTATGGGGCCCCCCCGGGCAATAGGGGATCATGGGGCCCGTGTCCTTGCCCAAACTCAAAAAAGCCTATGAAAAAGGTACCAGGGACATCTCATAGGGTCCCCTACTGACCCTGGGCCCTCGGGCAGTGCCCGAGTTTCCAAATGGTCAGTCCGCCCCTGATAACGGAGGTCCTCCATCCCCCATAACTGAGCTCTTAAGTCCCCCATAACTGAGCTCCTCCATCCCTCATAACTGAGGTCCTCCATCCTACAGAACTGAGCTACTTCATCCCTCATCACTGAGGTTCTCCATCTGATATAACGGAGGTCCTCCATCCCCCATAACTTAGGTTCTCAATCCACCATAACTGAGGTCCTCTATCCCTCATAACCGAGGTCCAACATCCCTCATAACCGAAGTCCTCCATCCTACAGAACGGAGGTCCTCCATCCCCCTTAACTGAGCTCCCCCATAACTGAGGTTCTCCATCCCCTATAACAGAGGTTCTCCATCCCCCATAACTGAGCTTCCCCATAACTAAGGTTCTCCATCCCCCATTAACAGAGGCTCTCCATCCCCCATAACTAAGGTTCTCCATCCCCCATAACAGAGGTTCTCCATGTGGCGGAACCGTTCCGCCTGGGCTTCCTCGTGCGGAGCAGTGCGTCTCACCCAATGGTCCTCATTTCCGGCAAGTCTTCCAGCATTCTCCCAAGGTAGGTATTATAGCCAAAAACACGAGTCAGAACTTTGTGTAGGGTGAAACTGACAATCTTTATTAAACACAGCTCAGTATATACAACTTCACCCCACCCCCACCAGACAGACTGGCACCAGGTTTTCCCCACCCACAACAAACCATACAATACAACAATACCTAGGAACTCTATAGAAGTGAAAGACTACAAGGTCACATTTTCCTAAACAAACAGTGTAGAATGTCTGTGAAACATGTCCAGCTTTACAAAGGGGATAAAAACCAGAACAGAAAGGGCAAAATGGTATCACAAAGGGACAATTCGTCACACTCCATCCCCCATAACTGAGGTTCTCCATCCCCCATAACTGAGGTCCCCCATCCCCCCTAACAGAGGTCCTCCATCCCCCCTAACAGAGGTTCTCCATCCCCCATAACTAAGGTTCTCCATCCCCTATAACAGAGGTTCTCCATCCCCCATAACTGAGCTCCCCCATAACTAAGGACTCCATCCCCTATAACAGAGGTTCTCCATCCCCCATAACTGAGCTCCCCCATAACTAAGGTACTCCATCCCCTATAACAGAGGCTCTCCATCCCCCATAACTGAGCTCCCCCATAACTAAGGTTCTCCATCCCCTATAACAGAGGTTCTCCATCCCCCATAACTGAGCTCACCCATAACTAAGGTTCTCCATCCCCTATAACAGGTTCTCCATCCCCCATAACTGAGCTCCTCCATCCCCCATAACTGAGCTCCTCCATCCCCCATAACAGAGGCTCTCCATCCCCCATAATGGAGCTCCTCCATCTCCGTTATTAGATTTGTTGCCCTTCTCTGGACTCTCTCCAGTTCCAGTACCTCCTTCCTGAGGATTGGTGACCAGCACTGCACAGCAGATACAACTGAAGCAGAGTTGTGTAAAGTAGTAGTTTCATCTCCGGAGGTAGTCCCCTTTGTAATGCAAGCTGATAGTCCTAGGACCCCCAGATCCTTTCCTATCCTTCATTCCTCCAGAAGTTCTCTTGCACCTCTTTCATCGGGATTTCTCTCTATGAAGAGCAGGGGAGATCAGACTACATCGCAGGAGGGACCTAAACAGAAATGGTATGCCCCCTCCCTCCTAGCAGAGTAGGTCAGATAGAACTTTGATGTCTTTGGTGATTTTCTTTTGAGGATTTTTTTTTTGTACATGACATGTATCCGGGTTCTCAGCCACATTGTGAGATCTCTAAGAGGCTGCAAAATATCATTCTGTTTTTGAGACATTTCCCGTCTCTAACCTGTCTCAACAGCAGTGTGTTTTCTCTGATGCCTGGCAAAACTGGACTGTTCTGTAAAACTTTTCCCGCACATGCGGCATGTATACAGCTTCTCTCCCGTGTGGCATCTCTGGTGTTTAGCGAGATCCGATTAATATACAAAACATTTCCCGCACTCGCTGCAGGGATATGGCTTTGCCGCTGAGTGAAATCTCTGATGTCTGGAAAGATAGGACTTATCATAAAAACATTTCCCGCACTTAGGACAGGAATATCGCTTCTCCCCGTGTGAGATCTCTGATGTGCAGAAAGTTTTGACTTCTGTGAATGACTTCTTCTTTGACTTGTTTGTATGAATCATTTGATGCCTCATAAGTTGGGAATGCCACACAAAACATTTCCCACACTCTGTGCAGGAGTATGGCTTCTCTCCCATGTGGGATCTCAGATGTTTCACAAGAGCTGCTTTCACTGGGAAACATTTCTCACACTCGTTACAGGAGAACGACTTCTTCCCCACGTGGGAGGTTAGATTTCCGACCAGTGCCGCTTTATATGGGTAACATTTCCATCACTCGGGGCAGGGATACGGCTTCTCTTCTTTGTGAAGCGTTAGATGTCTGACAAGAGTTGCTTTGTGTGAACAACATTTCCCGCACACAGGACAGGAAAATGACTTCGGTCTGTGAGATAACTTATGTGAACTTAAACCCGATTTATTGATAAAACATTTCCCGCCTCAGGACAGGAATGAGACTTCACACCCGTGTGGGTTATATGATGTCTGACAAGCTGTGATTTTTTTACAAAACATTTCCCGCACTCAGGACAGGAATGTGGCTTCTTCCCTGTGTGAGATCTTACATGCATAGTGAGATCAGTTTTAAAACGGAAACATTTCCCGCACTCAGGGCAGGAATACAACTTCTCCCCCGTGTGAGATCTTTTATGCCTACTGAGATTGGATTTAAAACAGAAATATTTCCCGCACTCAGGGCAGGAGAACCTCTTCTCTGGTGGAAGGCCGGCCCGGTCCCGCACAGTCTGAGATTCCTCAGGATACCAGGAATCCGATGGTCCATCTACACTGGGTGGTGCCGGTTGGACATTGGAGGGAGCCGGGTTTTCTCCTGGACTATACTGTGTGATGTCCTCATCTTCTACTTTCCAGTCTGGAGACAAAGTGAGACAATCCTCGGAGGTTTTCCTCATCTCCCGGCCATGGACTAAAAGAAAAAGAAAAAGAGGATTACTAGACAGGAGCTGATTGGTTCCCCAAACCAGAAAGACAGAGAGAGATCCAATGAGAACTTTATCATCTGGACCAATCAGTGAGCAGTATGGATGGAGGAATGGATTTAGTGTTCATGACCCACCTGTGCTGATCTCTGTAGGAGTGTCCTCCTCTATAAATGTCCCCGTTATTCCATCCTCCTCCATAGACTGCTGATCATCCCTCACATACGCCTCTTCTTCTTCTGATTTCACCTCAACTTTTATATCTGTCAGATCTTCACCCTAAACCAAGAGAAGGAGAGAAAATATCATCTTGTAAGGTCTATAGATCTTCTCCATGATCTCACTCCATTTTCTAGACGCTCCGTCCCACCTACCTGATGATGGTGAGGGATGGTGTGATCTTCCTGTGTGGAATCCCGGGAATACAGAGGATGGGGACATCTCTCTGGTGGGTTCCCATGACTGGATCCATCTACCTCATCTTCTACTTTCCAGTCTGGAGACAAAGTGAGACAATCCTCTGAGGTTTTCATCTTCCGGCCATGGACTAAAATACAAAGACAAAGACGATTACTAGACAGGAGCCCCACCAGAGGTCAGAGAGTGAGGATGGGGGGAGGACAACCAAGAGGAAGACTGGACTCATCCTGAAGACTATATATATTCAAGTAAGTTGGTGCAGCGCTAAATGGTAATACACTTTAATATACACAATGACATGCCATTTCAAACATATGTGGATACGTGGTATCACCTTAAGGTGATTAATAGTGATATAATTAGTTCAATATGATTGTGTGGATCATGAAGAGATCACAATTCCAAGTGTGTGGATGTCCTGATCCGGGAGTGACAACAGGTGCAAGCCAAACGAATGGATAAAAAACGCACTCACCAGATGTGCGTTTAAAATGCACAATAATTAATCCTGCGTCACCAGGCTATAGATAGGTCATCAGGTCTCGGGTCAGGCTACCATACGAATCCCCATCCAAGCTCCACAGAAAAGGTCACCAGAAACTGCTACCAGGTATCACCATCAGGGTCATCTTTCCTCCAAATGGGCACTGTGAATGATGACACTCACACAGAGTGCCCAATAAGAGACCACATAGTGTGATATTGCTTAAGGTACCTTTTATTCAAGGATAATGGGTGTAATGGTAAATTTCAAATTCTCAAAAAAGTTCCAAAAAGTTACTGACCATGTATTCAGGATAGGCTGTGGTTAGATGTCCAGTTGCTGCAGCTCCCTGACGCATTTCGTGCAATGCACGTAGTCATAGGGATAAGGGCTTACAGCATGGGCATCTATAGTGGTAGTATTTATATCCTGCAGTGGCAGATTAGGCTTGAAGCGCCCGCCATCTTGCTGGCTATCGGCGCATGCGCAGATCGTCGGCGCCATCTTGCCGACTTACGGCGCATGCGCGGGTCATCGGCGCCATTTTGTCGTGGATCGCATATGCGATCTCTAATAAGAAAACAGTCTCCCTTAGTGCGGCGCCATTTTACCGGTGGTAATAGGGAATACTGAAGAACTGCCTAATTCATCATCATGAATTGTGCATATATTGTGATGGGGAACGGGTCTCTATGCAAAATATATTAGGAATAGGGACCTCTATAGGATCGTGGGGGTCATGAGGTATTAATTATGATCCCTTATGTGCACGTTAATGTGCGGAACCCACCCTATTACACATAAATATAGATCATGGTCATATTATACATTATGTGTAATTAGATAAATATATAAATCCACGACCTATTGTTTCCCATTAAAATGTTGAAAATAAAGATATAAATATAAATAGCACGATTATTGAAATAAAAATTAATATAAATAAAATGCAAATACATGGTCAGATAAAAATATACATAAAAATACAATCACCAAATATATAAAACTGAAATACAAGGTCAGGAAATAAAACATCAGGTTAAAAATACACAATCCGGACAAAAATACAAGATACAAATTAATAAAAATGGTAAGAGACAATAAAAACAATAAAAGCGATGATGAGGAATGTTCAATATTAGCGCCAAATACCACTTATTGGATACGGTGATGTCATATAAGTTAGATAATCATTAATCATTATCGATTATAATTAAAATATAGTAAATCAGATACAGGTGGATGGAAAAGAATAATTACTATTGTATGTCCTACTCACCCTAGCTATTATCCAAAAAGCAGTTTAGATCAAAATCTATATTCAATCCTCTGGGGTGTAGGGAGCCTAATTCGTAGATCCATCTCGATTCGAGCTGTGACACTGCTCGTCTTTTATTTGTTCCTCGCCAATGGGCGTTGATAATACCTATGCCCATAAATCTGAGAGACGATGGATCTTTATTATGATGGATCTTGTAGTGATGCGACAGGGAATGCTCCCTATACCCCTTTTTTATGTTATTAACATGCTCCTTTAGTCTGTCCCTAAGGTGCCTAGTAGTGCATCCAACATATTGAAGGTTGCATGGACACTGGAGCAAGTACACTACGAATCTGCTTGTACAAGTAATAAAATCCTCAATAACATGATGTTTGTCCCTTGTTGTAGATATAAAGTAATTACTTTTATTCGTATGCTTACTACATCGACAGATAACACATTTTTTGCAAGGATAAAATCCTTTTAGGTTAGTAATCATAGTAATGCTCTTAGGAGGATCTACTATATTGGGGGCAATTTTATTTCTAAGTGATGTCGCTTTCCGGAAAATAATTTTCGGTTTCTCCGGCAATACAGTACTCAGAATTGGGTCAGACTTCAAAATCTTCCAGTTATTGTTGATAATACTGGCTTTTTGTATTGTGCGGAATAGTTAGTGATGAAAGGACATATCCACTTTGGTTTTTGTTTAGAAATGTTATTCAACATCAGCTTTCTGTCAGATTTTCCTATGATGTCAATGGTATAATCAAGGGTGGATTCATCATACCCTTTTTCAACAAACATATCTTTAATGATTACTGCTTGCTTATAATATGCGTCTATATTAGTACAATTGCGCTTGATTCTGGAAAACTGCCCCTTTGGAATATTGTGTAACCAAACGGGGTGGTGGCAGCTGTCTATTGAAATAAAACCATTTCTATCTGTTGGTTTAAAGTAAGTCTCTATTTTACCATTGTGATTTATTAACACCAGATCTAAGAAATTGACACTAACTTGACTGTATTCAAACGTGAGCGTAATATTTAAAGAGTTAAAAGAGTTTAAAAGAGTTTTTATTTTATTACATCCTGAAGACTGCCATCCTTGGGCTATTGGCTCCTCCCCCATCCTGAAGACTGCCATCATTGGGCTATTGGCTCCTCCCCCATCCTGACTCTGAAGACCACTATCATTGGGGTATTGGCTCCTCCCCCATCCTGAAGACCACTATCATTGGGGTATTGGCTCCTCCCCTATCCTGGCCCTGGAGGCCACCATCATTGGGGTATTGGCTCCTCCCTCCATCCTGAAGACCACCATCATTGGGTGGGGTATTGGCTCCTCCCCCATCCTGACCCTGAAGACCACCATCTCCCGGCCATAGACTAAAATACAAAAACAAAGGTTGTGTTTAGATATGAACTGAGGACTATGTCACCTACAACACGGAGTGCAGGGGTCAGGAGTATGCAACGTACAGCATGAAGATTGTAGGGGGTGAGGACTATGTAACACACAAGTGACGGCACCCTGTACAGTATAACAGTCAGAATGTGAAAATGTACAACATAGCGCATAGTATCCACAGATCAGGAGTATGAAACATACAACAGAACATATAAAGCGCAGGGGTCAGTATTATGTAACATATAACAATGTGTATATAGTGCAGAGGTGAGAAGTATGTGACACACAACATCATTTATAGATTGCAGGTTGTCAAGAGTATATAATATATAACAATGTGTATAGAATGCAGGGGCTGGGAGTATGGAACATGCAACAATGTATGGAGTGCAAGGGTCAGGAGTATATAACAATGTGTATAGAGTGCAGGGGCTGGGAGTATGGAACATGCAACAATGTATGGAGTGCAGGTAGTCAAAAGTACACCATATTGCCCAAAGAATAGGGCCCGCCCTCCCAATCCTTGGATTCAGGTGTTGCAATCCCCTCCATATATATATCCTGTATATACCTCCATACACACTATATTGCTCCAAGTATTACCCCCCCAATCTTTGGGTTCAGATGTTCCAATCCCCTCCATATCATGCAATTCAGGTGTCCCCAATCCCCTCCATATCATGCCAATCAGGTGTCCCCATCCCTTCCATATCGCGATTCAGGTGTCCCCATCCCCTCCATATCATGTGATTCAGGTGTTCCCATCCCCTCCATATCATGCCAATCAGGTGTCCCCATCCCTTCCATATCATGCGATTCAGGTGTCCCCATCCCCTCCATATCATGTGATTCAGGTGTTCCCATCCCCTCCCAATCATGCGATTCAGGTGTTCCAATCCCCTCCATATTATGTGATTCAGGTGTTCCAATCCCCTCCATATCATGTGATTCAGGTGTTCCAATCCCCTCCATGGTCACAGGTGTATACAATCAAGCCCCTAGGCATGCAGGCTGCTTCTACAAACATTGGTGAAAGAATGGGTCGTTCTCAGGAGCTCAGTGACTCCAAGCATGGCCACCTGGGCAATAAGTCCATCGGTGACATTTCCTGGCTACTAAATATTCCACTCAACTGTTAGTGGGATTATAACAAAGTGGAAGCAACTGGGAACAACAGCAACTCAGCCACCAAGTGGTAGGCCACGTCAAATGACAGAGCGGGGTCAGCACATGCTGAAGTGCACAGTGCGCCGAAGTCGCCAACAGTCTGCAGAGTCAATAGCTATAGACCTCCAAACTTGGTGTGGCCTTCAGATGAGCCCAACAACAGTGTGTAGAGAGCTTCATGGAAGAGGTTTCCATGGCCGAGCAGCTTTATCCAAGCATTCCATCACCAAATGCAATGCAAAGCGTCAGATGCTGTGGTGTAAAGCATGCTGCCACTGGACTCTAGAGCAGTGGAGACGTGTTCTCTGGAGTGACCAATCATGCTCCTCTGTCTGGCAATCCGATGGGCGTGTCTGGGTTTGGTGGTGGCCAGGAGAACGATATTTGCCTGACTGCATTGTGCCAAGTGTAAAGTTTGGTGGAGGGGGGATTATGGTGTGGGGTCGTTTTTCAGGCGTGGGCTTGGCCCCCTAGTTCCAGTGAAGGGAACTCTTAGGTGACATTTTGGACAATTTCATGCTCCCAACTTTGTGGGAAGAGTTTGGGGATGGCCCCTTCCTGTTCCAACATGACTGCCCACCAGTGCACAAAGCAAAGTCCATAAAGACATGGAGGAGCCAGTTTGGGGTGGAGGAACTTGACTGGCCTGCACAGAGTCCTGACCTCAACCCCATAGAACACCTTTGGGATGAATTAGAGCGGAGACCGCGAGCCAGGCTTCTCCTCCTCCAAAATCAGTGCCTGACCTGAC